TGCAATTTGGCAACATACCATAACCCAAAAGGAAATAGTGATTTGCTTGGGTCAGTTGTCCAACCAATAAATCAAAAACTTTGCAATGATAGAAGGTAAGAAATCCCAATTTAAACGGAAAAAAATTAACATTTGTCACACTTCACAGTCATATATAATATACACACTTCTAAATACAAATAGAAAAAGAAAGGTAAGTTTCAAGATTCTGGCACTTAAAAAAAAAGAAGAAATTGAGAATCAATGTCAGCAATACGAGAATACCCAATATCCCAAATAGATTAAAGGTTGAAATTTTCAACTATATTGTACCATTAAAAAGAAAATGTATACATTTGGGGAATCAAGCGTCGATAAATACATATGGTCATCAGATGAAATTTACCCATTTCCTCAATTCCATAGAATATTTTAAATCTTGAAATGTAGTATTCAATGTTATATATGAAAGCAGTGGAGGAGACAGAGACCTGGAGGTGGGTAATCCTTTACAGAGATCTCTGCTGCAAGACAAGGCACCTTTGTGGAGCCAAGAGTAGGTATCAACAGCGACACAACAATCCTTAAGGTCCTTGATATGGACTGGTAACATTATCGATTTCAGTAGAGGCAGAAGACCTTGAATCCCCATTCTCAGCTCGTGTTCCTCTCTTAGGAAAACCTATTCCTGAAAAGCCGATACCATGGCAGAACTGGAATATATGGTTTGCATTACAATGGCAGAGACCAAATGCCCTAAATCTAATGGTGGGGTTATGGGGGGAGAGAAAAAAAAGAAGCCCATTATTGATCAAACTTTTGGCGGGAAAAGTTCACATATTTGTTTGTTGATGGTGGAGACTACATGAAGTGTGGAAGTAAATTGTTTTTTTTTTTTAAATTCATATTCTTTTATTTTGGTTCAATTTCGATTTTTAATTATATCAAATAATATATTTTAAAAGGTTAAAAGAATAAATAATATATTTTAAATGTTAAAGAAAACCTCAATTGATTAGTTTTATAAATATGAATATTTATAAATTAAGTCTGTTTATTTTTTATTAACTGCTTAATATTTCATTTTAACTCCTATTCATAATATAAATTTCGGATTTGCTCATTGTGTTAAGTTTTTTTATTTACTATTCATTTAATTATAAAGTGAGTTTTTTTATTATTGTTCATATATTTTGTACATATTAATTAATAAAAAGTAATCAGACAAATAGATCTCTTCATCGTAAAAACAAATATTAGATATAAAAAAAGTCGGGTCACTGTTTAAAAATTTAAAATTTTAAAAAACTCAATTCATCTCCCCTGCTGGGTTGTCCTAAGATTTAAGCCGAGAATTATTTTATTTGTCATTATTAGTATTTTTTTCACCTTGTTATTATTTCAGTGTGATAAGATTAATGTATAATAGAAGTCAACTCACTTAAACTTTTTCTGTAATATTCTTAATTAATTTTAATATATTTAAAATTAATGTATAAATATAATTTTTAAATTTTTATTTAATGTAAAAATGAAAAAAAAAATAGGTGGATGATGAAAATGAAAACAATTTTTAAAAAAATGTGAAAATTTAGATTTTGGAGGTATTTTGAAAGAAAAATTAAAAATTGGAGATTAAAACGTAATTTAAAAAAATTGTATCACGTAGAACACCCAGTCAGTAGCTCCGACGAATTGGACCGCGCCGCGTGGCAAGACAAACTAATGCGGTGCCACGCGGGAAGCCATGCTGGCGATCCGCCTGCTCGCGATCGGACGGTCTAAATTTGTTCATGCGCACATGGACGGTCCGGATCTGTTTTTTCTTAAACGCGATCGGATGGTACAGATCAAATCGCGATGAATGATTCAGATCAACTTTCTATTTAAATGCAATCGGACGGTCCATATTAAATTACGATGAACAATCTAGATCCACTTTCTATTTAAATGCGATTGGACGGCTCATATCAAATTGCGATGAATGGTTTAGATTCACTTCCCATTTAAACGCGATCGGACGGTCCAGATCAGATGCGATGGATCGCCTAGATTAAAAAGAGACGGATATAAATAACTCTCTTCATACCAAATTCTAACCCCTAGCCGCCAGACCCTCTGCCGGAAAAGAAGAACCAGTCGTCGGGAAGGGAGTCAACTGCTGCCTACCGCCGCGTCTGAGCCATTTTCGACCACCAAAAGAGGTAAATTTTTCTTCATTCACTCGAAATTCAATTTTGAACATCTCATGGCCAAATTGGAGCAAAAGGACTAGCGGATGAGTTGAAAATCGCAGGTATAGTCCAACGGCGCCATCGCAGGAAAAAATAAAAATAGCATACGATAAGCCCCTTCCTGATTCCCGTTTCGTATAATTTTTCTATCATTGTAATCACCATTCCTTTTTCTATAAGTTGACGGAAGCAAAACACCCAATCGCCAAGGTGAGTCGGTGGAGTCACCACACCGAAAAACCTTGCCGCTAGTAATCTTCAATTTTTTGACTTTTTTCGGCCAACCGAAGTTTCTTAACGTGTTTTATCGTAGGGATAGGTACAAAACTGGACGAAAACGGTCAAGTCGAGATAAACTACCATCGCGGGCGACAGTGCCTTCGTTGGAGCACGACAGAGCTGACGTGCCAGAATTTCAGAATTGGCTAGAAAGGGTTTCTAACACTGATTTTGGGTCTTTTGGGGTATTTTTTGGTACTTAAAGCGTGTTTTAATCCCCGAAAAAAAAAATTAAGGGAACCTTGGGACTGCTAGTAGGCGCAGTTGAAAGTTTAATATTTTGGACATTAATTTGAGTAAGAATTCCTCAACTTATTCCCTATTATGAAATTAAAGTCTAATTATAAATAATATGATATTTTGTGTAATTTAGAAATATTGATAATTAAAGATTACTAATGAAGCCGGAATCGGTTATTTGTTACTGCTTATCATGTTTAACTAATTGATTGATTTCACAGTTTCGAATGAATGATAATATACTGGAATTGGTATGGTAATTCGATTGTGTTTTCTTGATGCATGTATTATTTGTTTTATGTGATTTGCAGTTAATTGGGAAATTAGAAATTAAAGATAAAGGAAAAATTGTTTGATTAAGTGAATGGATGAATGGTAGCCTTACTGAATATCCTGAGAGATGGTGGACAGACCGGATATGTAGGGAATCCTACCGTGAACGTTGCCTCATACCGGACAGGGTATCAAGGATTGGTATTTGGCCCTCATACTAGACGGAGTATGGGGACAGCCCATTTAACCCTCATACCGGACGGGGTATTGAGGGATGGTATTTCTTGACGTTCATATCAAACGAAATATGGGGACGGTCTATTAGTTGAAAATGTTGAAAAAGGATTCACGCGTAGTGGGGACATCCCTATGGACCCTCATAGATACCAATAGGCTGATAAATGAGAAAGTTGTTGTTCCGACTGATTGAATATGAAATTATGATATTGTTTATGTTATTGATTCTATATGTCAGTTTTAGAAATCTCGCTACGGTAAACATATGGTAAATGATTTTATTTATGATAAATGAATTTTACTTAAATTAAGAGTTCCATTAGTTATTTTTATGATTTCTACCAACTTTCATTTCTGTGTCGGTGAGCAACGTGATATTCTTACTAGACTAGTGTAGCTCACTCTTTTATTAACCATTTCAGATCAAGATGATCAAAATCTAAAACCCGATCCACAATAGGGTTTCGAGTAGAACGTTTAGTTTGTTTACTTTTCATTTATTTTTTTGATTATTAGTTGTTCTTTTAGAATGGTCATTTTTGTAACCCTATTGGGTATCCCGAATTATTTCGTAAGGAATGTAAACCCTAATTTATTATTTCGTTTCCGCATTCAATTCATAATTTATTTACTTTCAAGTTCACGAATCGTT